GCTTAACATTACCAACCATCTGGTCTTTCTTGAAGGATCGACATTCCATTTTCTTGTGGCCTATCCTTCCACAGTAGTAGCATGTAATCTTCGAGCGTGACTTGGATCTACCTCGGGATTGATGCAGATCTCGGCTTTTGCTACATCCACGAGTTTTATTCCTACCCCGATTCTTAATAATATTAGCTTCGGGATGAATAGACTCACATCGTTCCATCTCATTGCTTCTTCACTGAGGAGGTTATCACTAACGGTATCAATGGTGAGCTTTCCTTTCGGAGTTGAATTACTAAGTGTAACAATGAATGTATCCCAACTTTCCGGTAAGGAACTAAAGAGTAGAAGGGCTTGCAACTCATCATCAAATTTTATCTCAGTTTTTGTTAATTGATTTACGAGCCCCTTGAAATTATTTAAGTGTTCAATCATACTTTTACCATCCTTATACTCCAATTTCACCAACCGTCGAACTAAATTGGCTTTGTTACGAAGCGTTTTCTTTTGAATCATGGACTCAAGCTTTGTCCATAATTCATAAGCATTTATATAAGTATAAACATGCTCAAAGAGAGTTTTATCAATGTACTTATGGATCATAGCAACGACTTTCCGATTTAATAGCTTCCATTGAGCATTACTCCTACCTTCTACCTTGTCTTTGTAGATGATAGGCTCATGCAAATCCTTGCAGTACAGGTGGTCCTCCATTATCGACTTCCAATATGAGTAGTTATTGGCTGTGATATGAACATGTCTCCATCATGAGCGATGTTATCCTCCATCTTGAACTGCACGAGCTAATTACGACTACGGATGAACCTAGCTATGATACCACTGTTGGGAATCACAGTCTTTCCCGCTTCGTGAAGTTAAGATAAACACTTAGAGATTAAGGATAGTAAAGAGAACACAAGAGTATAATTCTCCAATTTGGAGATTCTTCCACTATACAAAAGAATAGTAGGATTACAATGATGTGTTCACAAAATTTGATTCACACTTGGTGGCTCACTCAAGCTTGAGGATAAAGACTTCCCAAGTTATCTCTCTTCTCTCTCAAAGAGGCTCTCTAACTCTCTTAGTATTTTTAGATTTCTTGGATGGTTAGAAATGAAGTCTCTCACCTCTATTTATATTACTCTGCATCCACAATGAATGGTGGAGATTAATTATCTAGAATACTCCACACACTATAAGAAACTCTACACTCTTTCACTCCCTTCCATAAGTTTCCACACTCTTCCATAAGGTTCCACACATCTCTAGAATATTCCAGAGGATTTCACACTCTTCCACAAGCTTCTAGAGAGTTCTACACTTCTCTAGAGTCCTCCGGAATATTCTAGAAAATTCTACACTTTTCTAGAAAACTCTAGAATTTTTTAGAACCTCTCCAATTAAGGAGAGATCCAACACGAATGGATCTATGCCCAAACCTTTAAGGTCAATACAGCTGACCTTATAGCCCGATGCTTCCAATATACTCCTGATTTTGTACCAACACCAAGCTCCATGGTCGAACCCATTCACCATAACAAAGTGAAGCTTTTCCCAAGTTTCGCTCATCTCGATCTGGACTGTTCTGTTCTGTTCTGCTCTGCTCTGCTCACTTTCTTAATGAAAGAAAGGTGCCACAGCTTGCTTGCGACTTTCTTCACCGCTTGCTATTATAAAATATATTAATTATTATAACTTCAATCATGTAATATATTAATTATAATATTTTATAATTGAGGTTATATATATTCTAATAATCGATATTATAAATATATTAATGGGCATGTAATGTGTTTCGTATAAATTTCAAACTAATAAATATTAAATTTTATTTTATGATTAATATTATAAATATATTTTTATTTTTTTATAACTATCGATATATGATATATTGAAAAATCGGGTATTATAAAGGTAAGGGCGACCTTCCAACCCATTCTATTACATTCGCAAAAGTCAAAAATCAAACCTCTAACTTTATTTAGGATATTAGTAAAAAAAAAAACCTACTTTTACTGCTCCCAATTTAACTCCATCCTACTTTTGACATATAATGAGCAAGCTGACTGAATACTCCCAATTTACTTCCATCATTCTCTCCAAATTTTATGCTACTCCTAATTTATCAGCTGCCGATCCATCACCAACTATAATTCTTTCTGTCCAAATTAGAAAGATGAACTACCTATAGTGGTAAGAATCCATTTATTTCCATCATCATATTTATTGGAGTATTTTTTAGAGAATAATACTAAAAACAACTTTGAGGTTGGACATTCAAAATTTAAGCAAATGAAAAGGTAGGACAGGCTGGACAGATTGGTTAAGCTATACGTATAGTTAATAGGAAATAAATAGTAGAGTGGTTAAGCTTAAGCAAGCGCTGAGCGGTGAAGGTACTCGCAAGCAGAGGCATCTTTCATTAAGAAAGTGAGCAGAACAGATCATATCGAGAGATGAGCGAGAAAAGTGAAAAGCTTCACCTTGTCATTGTGCATGGGTTCAGTGGTAGGTATGGCTCATAAATATACCAGTAAAGAGGACAGGAGATGGAGCGGAGTGAGCGAAGCGAATATCAACTGTCTTTACAAAGAAAGTCTCGTTGTGGGGTTACGAATTATGTGGGTTGGGGGTGCGGGGGCGCAGCCCCCGCGGTACGGTACAGGGTTAATTTTGTAATTATGTACCAGGGTTTTCTATTATAAATAGAGATGTAACCTAGACCTAAAATATCATTGAATAAAAACTTCTAGCGCCGCCTAGGCACCGAGGACGTAAGCACATTGCCGAACCTCGTAAAATTCTCGTGTTCTTTTGTTTTCTTTACCCGTTTTCGTCAACATTCAGCCATGGAGCCTGGTGCTGGTACAAAATCAGGAGTCTACTGGAAGCATCTGACTGCAAGATCCATCCGATCCCAACACCATCTTCACTTTCCAAGACTATAACGAACCATTGATTAGCCTCCTCTCCAACTTACCTGAGAATGAAAAGGTAAAGTACTTCAGCACCACCACTACTACTCTTAAAGGATTTGTTAATATGTATATTATTAATTAATTAGTTTTGGCAATAGCAGGTGATACTGGTCGGACACAGTGCTGGAGGTCATAGATTAACGTATGCCATACACAAGTTTGCTAACAAAATTCGTATGACAATTTTTGTTGCTGCTACTATGCTCAAACATGGGTTCGTCACCCCCCAAGATTATGAAGATGTAATTACATTTCTTCTCTTATTTTATCAATACATCATCATATTCATTCTCTCTTGTTTTTACCCATCTCTATATGCATTTATTTATCTCTTTATCAATAAGAAAGTGATTACCACTACTTAAGGCACATCCTCTGTGGATAGATTCTAGTCTGTAGTTTAATCATTGGGGTGAATATGAAATTAAACTATTAATATTCATTATTTTTTCTAAGTGCCAGCTCGAATCGCAATGTATTTCAACCTTGTACGTCTTCCAATGAAATTAAGAAGCTGCATGTGTTGGCCTGCCTTGAATCTCATCAATCCCGAGAAACCTCATGCTCTAGATCTGTAACAGATCAAGAAAATGACGTGAAAAAGGCCGGAAAAATTAAGTAGTATAATATGATTTGATATTTTTTTTTGAAGTCCAAGTAATTATAAGATAAATTATGTTGATATTTTTATAGTTTTAACAATTTATACATTATGTAGATATAGTTGTGTCGTAACTATTTTTTGGCGGAACAATTGTTTATTGTTTTAAAAAATAATTATGACTTTTATTTAGAAAATTTGGTGATTTTGAATTGATTGAAATAAAATAGAAAAGAGAGTCGTCACCGACCTTTAGGTTAGGTAGGTTGAATACCTAAAAACGTATTTTAAAAATAATTTTAAGAAAAATCATTTTATAAGACAAAATCGACCAGAAATTCGATTTGTTGGGTCCAGGAGTCGGTTACGCGTGGATAATGATTAGCACCCCCAACGCCTAAAGGTGGTATTGTGTCACTTACACGTTGTCGTAATGGTGGAAAATACAAATCAAATATAAAGTTAAAATATGATCCATTTATCGAAATTTAATTAATTTACTTCCAATTAATTAATTAGAGAAACTTCCTTAACTCGAAAAGAAATCTCGAAATCAGCAATCCTCCATCGGGAAAACTAACTCGACTATTTCTTGTCAGTAAAAGAATATTCCCTCCTCATTGATTTTTAAAAATGTGAATTAAATATAAAATGAAAATCGATCTTTGCATAAAGTAAATCGCTATTTAGTAACATACATCACATTGTTCAACTTAAAATAAAAGGAATTAACTAGCAAAATAAAATCAATTTTTTTTCAAGTTCACATTTTATTTAAATGTCGTATCAGATTACACCACTTCGATTAAATGATGCTTACCACGCCCATTCTACAAAATCGTTGTTCTTGAACATATTCGAGTAAATAAAATATTGGCAACTAGATATTTTTACAAGTTAAAATAAATCATATTGAATGAAATGGAATAAACATTTACAATACATTTTCGTATATGAATATACAAGGACAGAAAATAAATTTAATAAATATGTATATAATTACATATGACACAACATGTGCACGAAATAAAATAAATTAATATGTATGAGTACATTTGAGACATATGATATATGTATATAAATATTATAATATGGCTAAAAATGTAAATATATAAATATGGCAAACCATAACACAAATAACTAAATTTATAAACAAGTGACTAAAATAAAATAAAACTGAACATGCAGCCCGATTTGAAATAAACAAACAAACGGTAAACCTAGTGATTTAAATACAACACGGCCAAAAAACAAGGACCTAAGGGATATTTACCCTAAAAAGTTACTAAAATGCGAATCAGACTAAACAAAGAGGACCTATGGGTGATTTAACCCTAAGCTAGTGACTAGAAGGCAAATCACGCTAAAGGTCCAGGAACCTTATCGTGATTTTCTCAAAAATCTAAAATAAGAACACCTTCTCCCTTTCTAACTCATTCTTCCCGATAACATTGAACCCTAAAAAATCTAACTCACCTCCTCCCTTTCTTCATTCACGTGGCGTCCAGCTCCCAACGAACCAACCCTCGTCGCCTTGGCCACCCTACATGGGTGGCCACTCTACTCGGGCTGGTGACTTACCAAACTAGGGGGAACACCACGAAAACAAGCCCTTAACCTCAACTCACTCTACCTCTCCTCGGACGAGGACCAAACCACGCAAGACCGCCATATACAGCGGCCCTTCAACCCCCGAATCAGTGACAACTATGCTATCATCTCCTAGACGACAAGGCTACCCCGACGAACCCATGGAAGCAAGGTAAACTTCGATCCCCTTCTTATATTTATTATAAGCAATCGCAAGATTAGTATGAAAACCCAAGAACGAAATTATAGTTTAGATCATCTTTTAGCTACATTCTAAAACGTTAGCACATAAACAGAGTGTAAAAAAAACTCCTAGAATTACCTTGGAATTTGCTTACGGTTCTAGATTTAGATTGCTGAAAAATTTTGTTCTCAATTGTTGATGAAAACTGTTCTCGTTTCTTTTCTGATCATCATCGGTTTCTTTCTTTACATTGCTTTTGTGTGGGTTAAATACCCATTACAAAGGAAAAATAAAATAATGATAGTGGATTGCTTTTGTGTGGGTTAAATACCCATTACAAAGGAAAAATAAAATAATGATAGTGGAAGCACACTAGCATGGGCACGACATAGGGACTTGTACGGCGTGGGCAAGGTGTTGGGTATTGGGAATGGCATATCGTGGGAGAGCATAGTATGGGCTGTGCATGGGGGACAAGTTGTAAAGTGGAGCATGGGTGAGATTAAAATATGGTGCTCACAAGTTGTTTGAACTCGAGTTTTATAAAGAAAATGATATTTCTTTCTATCATTGAAATCATTCTATATTGAAAAATATTATCTTAGAGTAACGTCGATATTTTAATAAATTTAAAGTAAGGTTTTGAGGAAAGAGTGTCTAGTCTAAGTCCCAGGTTTAACTCTTGTTGTATATGTAGTATGGTATAATAAATTATTAATGTCAAACATGTATATATCTATGTTTAAAAGATAAATTAATAGTCAAAAACTAATGGTGATATAAACTGGAACTGGCAGGGAGATCCAGATTTAACCGTGTATGGTGATGTATATGAGAAAATATATGGTTTAGGAGCGACCAGCCTGCTACCAGTATGATAATCAAGGAGGAGTTTCAACGTAAAATTCTTTATCATTTAAGCTCTAAAGAGGTGAGCATAAATTAATTAAGAACATCGTCATCATCATCATAGTGAGGGACTTGAAATATAATCATCATCACCAGGACTCCACTTTGGCGGCGTTGCTAGTGCGATCGGGACCTTTGAGAGCATTTGCAGGTCTTCGGTTTACAGAGGGAGCCGACGCTGAGAACGTGCCAAAAGTGTATATCAAGACAATGCAAGTGTTGAAGCGAGAACAACAGGAGGAGATGGTGAAAAGGTGGCCGGCCTCTCTAGTGTTTGCTTTGGAAAGTGATCACAGCCCAATTTTCTCCACGCCTACTCATCTCTTTGCCTTTCTACTCAAAGCGACCGCTTCCGTTAACGCTGCAACTTAATCTATACTCAATTACTCATCATCCATCTGGACTGCTATTTTTAATTGGAACGTGATTCTCTCTTCTTCAATGTCTCTAATAAGTCTCGAATAATATTTGATGATCAGTGTCTACTCTTTATCATTATATACCAGTTGACTTCCAATTAACCATGAAAAAATAAACCTGTTTATAATATTTTCTGTCGTAGATAGACAAAAGCATGATTTTATATTGGAAGAACTAATTTATAAAATTTAAAGGGATAACGAACTTGAATTTAAAAATTTTAGAGTGACCACCCGTCTCGACCCGACTTTTTGAAATAAAATCCGAACCCGACCCGATCAAAAATAGTAATAAAATACTATTTTTATTTAATAAAAATAGTGATCTAATTGAAAAAATAATATATAGAGGGGTATTATTTTATTTATTCTTAATATATAAGATAAAATTTTTTTTTCAGGTCGGTATTTTTCACCCTAAACTCGAATTCGACCTGACCCAAACCCGAATTTTTTTATATAAAAAAATCGACCTGATTGGGTAGAAACCCGTCGGGTTCGAGTCTCATACCCATCCCTACCTATACATGCATGCAAAGTAATCATCGGTTTTGACACATGGCATGACATGACATACAATTATGGTTTAGTTTATTGTCTGTTTGTTTCATTGGAAAATATTTTTCGTAAAATGAATTATATCTTTTGAAAATATTTTTGCGATGTTTGAAAAATGTTATGTAAACTATTTTTCATTAGTTGATAAATCTTATAGAAATTATTTATTACAAATATGAAATATAATAAATGATATTATTTATTATAAAAACTTAATATTATTATTTTAAAAATATTAGAGTAATATATTTAGTATTATTTATGAATTATGCTAATGTTATTATTAAATATTATTTCTAAAATTTTATAAATAAAAATGTTAAGATTAGTATATTCTATTAAAATAAAAGTATTATAAATTATATTAAAGATTTATTAAAATAAGAATAATATATTATATTTTTAAAATTATTATTAAATATATTTGAAGTATTTTTATTAAAATATTGCTAGACTATTATATTAATATTAAATGCATAAATAATATTATTTATTATTAATAATTTATTAATATTTTTTAAGAAATTAATAAATAATATAAATTTTATTAATAATTTATTATATATTATTAAAATAATAATATATTATATTGTTAAAAGTATTAATAAATATATTTTAAATAATTTAATAATTAATATTTTATTAAAATGATACTAAAATATCATTTTAATATTAAATAAATAAGATAATATTATTTTGAGTATTTAACTTTGAAAGAAAAAATCAAAAAATGACTTACGAAATATATGATTAGAAATTTTTTTTTATATTAACCAACCTATTTTTCTCTTACCAAATACTATAAAATGATAAAATATTTTCCAAAAAATATTTACATTAAACAAACAGACTGTTAATGTCAACTGTCCATGCATAAAATACCCGATATCAAAAGCAAATTGGAAGTGGTTTATGATTGTGTGTGAATCAAAGTCTTATTGGGTGAAAAAGGAGGCAATCAGAAGTTAAGTCAAATATTTTATATATGTTGCTTAGCCAAAATCAAACCTAATAAAAAAGGATCCATCCATCCATCGAGGACTAGTGGACGCTTTGCTGCATTAATAATTTTTTGCTTTAAGGTTGTGCTTGATTAAATAATAGTATAATGTTAAGATTATATTCTATAAATAAAGTATTATAATTATATAAAGATTTATTAAATAAGAATAATATATTATATTTTTAAAATTATTATTAAATATATTGAAGTATTTTATTAAAATATACTAACTATTATTAATATTAAATGCATAAATAATATTATTTATTATTATAATTATTAATATTTTTAAGAAATTAATAAATATAAAATTTTATAATAATTTTATATATTAAAAATATATATTATATTGTTAAAGTATTAAAATATTTTAATAATTTAATAATTAATATTTTATTAAAATGATACTAAAATATCATTTTAATATTAAATAAATAAGATAATATTATTTTGAGTATTTATACTTTGAAATGAAAAGATCGAAAAATGACTTACGAAATATAAAACTGTAAGTCATTTTCTAGAAATACAAAGGAAACAATGTTGATTAGAAATTTTTTTTATATTAACCAACCTATTTTTCTCTTACCAAATACTATAAAATGATAAAAATATTTTCTAAAAAATATTTTACATTAAACAAACAGACTGTTAATGTCAACTGTCCATGCATAAAATACCCGATATCAAAAGCAAATTGGAAGTGGTTTATGATTGTGTGTGAATCAAAGTCTTATTGGGTGAAAAAGGAGGCAATCAGAAGTTAAGTCAAATATTTTATATATGTTTGCTTAGCCAAAATCAAACCTAATAAACAAGGATCCATCCATCCATCGAGGACTAGTGGACGCTTTGCTGCATTAATAATTTTTTGCTTTAAGGTTGTGCTTGATTAAATAATTAGTATATAACAGCCTTCTTTTGACATGTAATGAGCAATCTGACTGAATACTCACAAATTTTATTTTATAAACTTCATACTATAATCTTCTCTTACTCAAACGTATAAATTGTTTGATGAAAATAAATGAGTTATAGTGATTATAAATGATTTATTTCATTTAATTTCGATGAATATTCATAATTAATGGTAGATTGATTCTTGGTCGATGTATAAATATTTTATTTTTATAAAGAGAAAAGAAGACTGAGGGTGATGTGATTCCATCATTTCTCTCGATCATGATCGAGAGGTTTTATAACGATTTTTGGAACTTATGCTAGACATTAAAATTATTATGGCTACTTATAAGTTAACATATTAACGGTAGATTTAACTCTAATAAATCGCATAGACTTGTCAAAGATTGTTTTAAATTATTCTAATTTTCCAAAGAATGTTAAATGTTCGAAGTTCTTTCTTCAAAAGTACTCTATTGGAGTTCTATTATAGAAAGACTCCTCTGAAAACATTAAAGTGCAAATATAACATGCGAATAACTGTTGACGAAATACAAACACAAATTAAACGTAATTTTAATAAGTAATATCACAATCCAGGATTAATTTTAATTATATACATGTCATGTGCAGTACATATTACATAGATTGTTTGAATTTTAAAAAGCGTGAAAGAGAAGATGCAGATTAAAGAAAGACAAGCCCAAAGGCCCAATCTATATTGAGACCTAAAAGACAGTAGAGTACAGATCAAGGTCACATAATCTGAGGAAACGGTTGGGTCACCGTATCAGAGCGACTTTGGGTTGAGTTAAGGGTATGTTTGGTTCACGGAATGTAAGATTACCACTGGGAATAAAAGATTCCTAGGGAATAAGATTACTGGGAATGTTACATTACTGTGTTTAGTTGGTTTGGCAGGAATGTAAGTTTAACGTGTTTGGTTGAAGGAATAAAAGATTACTGGAATGTATAATTTACCAAATTGACCTTATTTTATATTATTTAAGGAGTGAAATTCTAATTATTTAAATAAAAATTATTTGTATAAAAATTCATCGATAATATATTTAAATAAAAATTATTTATATAAAAAATCATCGATAATATATTATTTTATTATTTAAATATATCATGTATAATTTTAATTTTAATTAATATTAAATTTTACATAATTTATTTAAAATATATATTAAAATTTTACTTCAACATAATTTATATAAAAATATATCATGTTTAATTTAGGGATTTTTAACTTTCACTATGATATTGAATCGACCATGACGATGATTCCGTTGGGTAATATTTTCCACACAAAATAGCTTCCAAATTTCCCAGTGCTTTTAAATTTATTTGAAGTGAATGTTATAAATATTATACAAATTAGAATGTTATTTACATGCTAGGTCATGCATGCATAATGGAATGAATTTGTGTATACACTATACAAAGATTTCGAAAAAAGAATGAGTAAGTAGCAGAACCAAAAAGAATTCAGACTTGAAGGAACATACTGGGCATAAGGTCAGCATAAGGTTTTGATTCACCTTTCATGGTGTTTACAAGAGGCAATTCTAACATATGGTGCTTCCTCTCCAGTTTATTTGAAGGCCATTAATGCGGTGTATATTTCACCGGTTTTTTTGGGGTACATAATTGAGAATTCACAGAATGACGACATGGAGGAGTTATGCTTGTCTCTTCATGAAAATGAACAGGTTCCTAAGGATTTCATGACTGGTAAATCTGTAACTATTTGGCTCTTCATCCTTATCTGTTCGTGAGTTTTGAAATTGAAGTTTGTAAATGAGTATCTTGACAAGTCGTTACTTATTGATGAATTGCGTCATGACTTGATTTTTATTTCTAATGTGCATATCAAAAGATTGAGAATCCTGTAATGCATAATGTGCTTACCTTCATTGGTACAATAGATGTAAGGTACACCAGGGCTTAATAATGCATTTTTTTACATTGGCATTTCTGCTTAATTTTCTCTTAATATTACACTATTTTCCTCGCAAATCCTACGACGTCCCTTCTACACCAGGAGTTGCTCAACTTCATGCTTGTTGCGATGTCAACTCAACTTCTTTCTGATCCAACCCCAGGGCCAAAAGATGTAAACCCTTTTCTTGATGCTGCAATGTCTCAGGTTATAAGTTAAAACCTTAGCATCATATTTTGCTCCAAAAATTTCAATTTTACTCACTCATTCTTTGGTTAGCAGGAAAGTTTGCTGGTTAATTTGGTAGTTCGCAGATTGCTTCTCATTATGATTTGATGATCATTTTAAGCAATTCGATAAAATTTGATGATTACTTTATACCTATTAGAAAAGAAAATAATTATTTTGGAAGTTGAAAGTTCACTCACCATAACAGTCATAAGCTACAATGATTTCGTATGTACTATACCCAATTAAAAAGCAAAATAATGTAAATTCTAACATCTTTGAAATTATCACATATGAATTCAAGAATATAAATGCAACCGAAAATAAAAGAAAAATATTGCAATCGAGGTAATCTCCAAGAAAAGACTCAGAAAACATATGACTAAAATATGGTCTGAAAACAAAGGAAACCACCAATACATCTAAATATCAAAACTTCCTCAAAATTGTAAGAAATCCAACCACTGAGCTGACTCAAATTCTCAAACTTTTTCACTCAATAGAAAGCGTGCGATTACTTGGACTTGCTTGCTGCCAATTGAGTCTCAGGCTGAAAGCACAAAATGAGGATGATTTACCAACATAAAATGCAATAGCAGAATAGATGTTTTCATTCTATGTTGCTCCAATAAACCCCATAGCGGAGACGCTGTAATATATCTTTCATTCATCAAGGAAACTTAAATTTTAATCGACTCACCTCTTTTTTGACAGGCTCTTCCTTCTCGGACAAAATCAACTCAATGTGGCAAGGAGAATACATGTAAGCTGACAAAAAAATCATAGTTCAATAAACATATGAAAAATAGAGCCTAAAAAAATTATGGATAAAGATGGTTGTTATGATGCATACGGTTGATTCTTCCGTGAGCTCGATAGGTACGAAGCCTTTGTTTCTGGGCCTGGTTTACCTGGATGTGAGAAATATAGAGTGCATCGACATCCAAACCCTTGACCTGGGAAATTAATATCAAACTGTTAGAAAGGGGAGGCAATGGAGTTGATTGCGAAAACTAGAAACCATAAAGTAAGGCATACCTCGGCATTGCTCTCAGCATTCTTCAGCAAATCTAGAATGAACTTGGCCGATTTTACAGGCCAACGACCTTGCCCATTAGAATGTCTGTTCTTTGCCTGTGTTGTACGTCCAACACCTCCACAAAAGCGTCGGAATGGTATGGCCTGTTTGTGAGCCATAACATCCTCCAAATACCTCTTTTCCTTAACCAAATACAATTTTCTAATGGCCAAAGCTTATTCTTAAAAAAACAATAATCTGGTATGAGAATCATCGAAGACAACCAACATAAAAAAAACACCCGAAAATACATCATAAAACCTATACTTTGACAGTTCATAAAAGTAGACCAACCAAACATCAAAACACACCACCACCAACAACTGAGCAAACTTATTCTTAAATCACATCTAATTCAAAAACTAACTTATTTATGAAGGATCATGAAATGTTGTATCCTTTAATGATTCCTATGTTACCAATAACAATGCAGGGTAAATTTTCTGAAGTTTACGAGAACCTTGTTCGCAAACGACAACAAGACCCTGCTTTTGTCATCAGGTTTAAGAATTTAAATACTTGGCCAAGAAAATCTAAAACCTGAAACAAACACATTCTAAAAATTATTAATCAAATCGCATAAAAAGATCCTCTTAACAGCAGCCTTCAATCATTTAATAGAATTGTTAACTACGATGACCATTCGATTATAGATACTATAATACTATGACATCTTTAACAAATACCATTAATATAAAAGACTTAAATATAATGTATTTACATACTATGATTTGATTCTTCATTTACTAGCATCGAATAATTTACTGGATCTTCAACTGTACATGACACATAGATTTCTGAATAACAATCCAACAAAAACCCTGAACTTAATATCAATATGCAATAGTTAAATCAAATTCCATCAGTTTTGACAATAATACCTTGAAATGAACCCCAAGATCAGAGCCCCTATATGTTGCACTGATACGGATACGGGGTCAAATATGGGACGGGAATGGGGACATGAAACGACAATTTTTAAAATTACAGGGTACAGGGACGACAAGGGTACGTCATATAAAATAATTTTAAAATTATAAATATATTTAAAAAATCATAAATAAAGTTTAATATCAAGACTCAAACCACAATATTAAGTTTAAAACAGGTGGGACAACAACCATGTATAGGAAGTTTTATAATTTTGATGATCATACGAGCCACTGTTAGGAAGTTAATGGAAAGGTTTCATTAAAGAAGTTAAAGAAACACAAAACTATCAGTCTATAACTAATTTTTTTTCCCAATTATTCTTTATTTTCCTTAGATACAAAATTAACATGCTCAGAACTTCAGAAGTTTATAACACAATTAGGTTTCATATAATATTATATCAGAGCAATCAATGATTTTCTGTTCTGACCTAATATGCAAATAAGTTGTTCTCTAATCCGGCAAAATAGGGTAAAAAAACTTATTAGTAAACATTGCCTAAATCAGGAAATCTTATTCGTATCTGAACATAATAAAAAACATCCATTTGTAGAGAACTACAGACGTTAAAACTACAGCTAAGAATTGCTCGACATCAATAACGGCAAAGACTAAATTTGCTTAATTACCTTGGAGGGTCAACTGCTGAGCAGTTTAACTTGGATATTACTTCTTTTTCCAAACCATTCACTAATTTCTCTAAATTCTTGTACAAGGCAGAGTAATTTCCACTTGTGCTCTCTCCAACATAGTCATCAATACTGTAACAGTCAATGAAACTCCAAAATACATTGATTTAAACCACAAAAATTAAACAAATAAGAGAGCAAAAGAGAAGATAGTTACTCGATTTCAAGGTGAAGGGGTTGAGAACTGTTCTCAGCCAAAGTCTCGACAAGCAATTTTCTATTCATAACCAGACATTTCACCAAAACTTTCTTCGACCCTTTCTCGGGATTGGTATAGACAAACGCGTAATGATCTTCGAATTCGTTCCAATTATCGGTTCCTACCTCGTCTAAAAACCAAAAATGTTTTTTAAGGAATTGAAAAAGTAATAGTAGCAATCAAATTAGAAAGAGAAGAAAAGCGAATACCAATAGAGGTAGAAGAGAAAACGTTGTCGCCCAAAGTAGCAGGCCCAGTGGCAGTGAGGACGAAACCGACCGAAAGAAACATCGCGTGGACGGCGAACACGACCTTGTCGTGGTCGTTCCTAAAAGAAGAAGAATGCAACAACTCTCTCCGTAAAGCTCCAAAGCAAACTAACGGAGAGAAGCAAGATAACAGGAAGCTCTCGCCAAATCAAAGAAGATGCAATGTTTTCCTTTATAGAAGCAAGCTAACGGGGATAAGGGTATTTTAGCTAAGAGGGACGGAAATGTTAAAATACCTAAGGAAGCTGAGGGATTAACATTCCCGGTAAAACAGAGGAAAAAAACTACTGTTGATATTCAATATTTACCCTTATTTAGGGTGGGTAAATTAAAAAGGGAAAAAAAGATTCCTGCCATGAATGTTTTAATCCGTGAACTAAACGGGCTAAGAGTAAGACTTTGAGCGAGTTGAGACTTAAGACTGGAGGGGCTTAAACTTCAAGCGGTGTGGTGTGTCTTCAAGTGTCGTGCTCTGACGCTGCTCGTGCATGCACTCTCTCTCTCTCTCGCGCGCAAAACATAAACAAAGCACGTTCTCTTTGGTTTTCCATTTTTTTTTCAATTATAAATTAATGTGTAGTTGTTGTAGTAGTAACTATAACAATAACAAAGATAATTACATCTACCACGCCGTTACTATTCTCTTCTCTTTGTTTTGTTCACTCCTCCACTTCTTGCCGGTTGACTGCCTTCTTCTTCTTCTTCTTCTTCATTCCAACTGAAGTGGGTGTCTTCTGCGAATGACTGATTTGTTGTGAGTTGAACGAGATCAGTCGTTTTTCATCGAGATTGTGTTTGGAAATTTCGATATATGTTGTGCATGGGGATGTTCCATTGATGAAATTATAATTAGACTCATTAATGACATTTGATTTTGATCTTGATCTTGATTTTGATTTGAACAGCTTGTTGTTGAATGGAGTCCAAGATTTGCATGAATTCCTCTTGTGGAGCTGCTATCACCCATGAATGGAAGAAGGGTTGGCCTCTGCGATCTGGTGGCTTTGCTCATCTCTGCTACCCTTGCGGGTACTCCAATCCTCATTCATATTTGATCAATTCCACATTTTGGGTTTTGGGTTTTAAATTTAACGCTTTCCTTGCTACTACTACTACATGGATTTGCTTTATCACCCTTATTGTTTTACGTTTTTCATTTTTCTCTAAAATTGAGATTTTTGGCTTCTCCAGCCCACAATATTTCTATTTAGACTTTCATTCTTCTTTCACAAATTTATCGAAGAAGTATCAACTTTATAGATCTTTTAAGTGTCTAAGAAATTTGCGCTTAATAAGGTGTTCAGGCATGTATGTCATTTAATTATTCAAAACTGCATATCATTAGCGATCTTCTCAATTTCGAGTCATTATTGCGAGAAGTTGTAGAATACGCACCATCAATTTACCTAATATAAGTGCTGATATGTAAAATAGATCCGGAGTTGCATGGAATTCCCCTCCTCTCAGAGGGTATGCATTTGGTGCATGATATTCTACCACCACCAGAAAATGTTAATGTATATATATAAAACTTTTAAGGTGGTATGCATTTGGTGCATGATATTCTGCCTCCACCAGAAAATGTTTATATATATAACTTTTAAGGTGGTAGTATTGTTTTATTCATGTATCTGCTGCATCATTCTTTTGATTTTCAATGCTTCATCTTATTTTTTTTTCTGCCTGCTGATTTCTGCGGTTAAGCTCTGCCTACGAGGATGGCATCTATTGTAATACATTCCACTTGGAGGAATCTGGCTGGAGGGAGTGCCGTTTATGCGGCAATGTAAGCTGATAATCTTGCTGATCTTATTCAAGTTCAAACAATGATCAATTGTTTATCATTTTAAGTAATTGAATGTGATATGACATCATCTTCACTGTGGTTGCATAGCCTCCAAATATCTGCTTGATTTTCTAGATTATGGTGGTGTTGGGTGTATCAGCTGTACAAAGAGCTCCCAACATCATTCAGTTAAAAGAATTCAGGTACTTTTTTCTGTCACTCCTCACCTGGTTCCTTTTTTGGTGTTTAACATGATCTTTCTTTTCAGTCCACATATATGCCAACCCTGGTTTGAGATCATGGGAATAAAGTTGATGCTTCTTTAAACCAATGTAGTTCTTTGCTAGGCCCCACCATCACCACCACACACGCACCTCTTTCTTTTTGCCACGTGAATTTCCATGGAAAGTAGGATCTAGGAACCAATATTTTAACAATTGAAATGGCACACTAAGTAATTTTAATTTGCCCTTCTGTGATGTAGACACGTGGTGATGGAATTTCTGAAGGATTTGGAGCAGTGCCAATGAATAATTCCAGATCCAATGCTACTGAAGGTAAAGCAGTAAGTGATCATGATGAGAGAACACTTGCACAATTGTGCAAACCCATGGAAGCTAATGAATGCAACCTCTTGCCTCAATCTCAGAGAGGTGATGCAGATGTATCTCATGGGCAAAACAGAGTAGAGGAATTCATTTTCCCCATTGAGAAAGTAGGAGTGGATTGTTCAAATGCTATCCAACCAAATGTTCAACCGGCTAAATTTTCAAAAATAGACAATGCTAGACCAGCTTTGGACATTAGAGATATTCATGATTCACTTCAACAACCTTATTTGAGTATGTCCTTGAGAGGATCTTCTGGGAATCCCAATCTTTTACTACCTTTCTCCGGTGGGATACCTGATGGGAAAGAACCAAGCAAAACATGGTCCACTTTTCAACAAGGGCAGCAATCTTGTCGAATATTACCCAAACCCTCAAAAAATGGTCCAAAAACAAGTTCAGAACGGAATAAGAGCATGGTTCCTCAGGCACGTATCACAAGGCCACCAGTTGAGGGGCGTGGGAAAAATCATTTGCTTCCTCGGTGTTGGCCCAGGATTACTGACCAAGAGCTACAGAAACTATCAGAAGAGTATCCATGATTGTCAGCTTACTTTTCCAAATTTTCTTTTCCTAGAATGATTTATATATTTAGTCTTTTTTTACTGTGTTGATTCAAATTTTCTGTTCACCTTAAGTTGCGAATTTAAAGTTTGAAATCTGCCATTGTGCCACTATTTGAGAAGGTTCTCAGTGCCAGTGATGCTGGTAGAATTGGTCGATTAGTGCTGCCAAAAGCATGTGCTGAAGTAAGTTTTTCACTATATTCACTTACATGCATTTTCCTTGTCCCGCACCTCATCCTCCGGAAGAAAGTTCCCCCATCTACCCTTCTCCAATCTTTTCCTGGCATTGCATTTGTATGAACTATAAATGAATGCAGGCATATTTTCCTCCAATTTCACAATCAGAAGGCCTTCCTCTAAGGATTCAGGATGTAAACGGGAAAGAATGGACATTTCAATTCAGATTTTGGCCAAATAACAATAGTAGGATGTATGTCTTGGAGGGTGTAACGCCATGTATACAGTCCATGGAACTCCGAGCTGGCGATACTGGTATAATCTGTTCCTCCACTGCTAAGATCATGACGTATAACCTTGCTTGATATCTATGCTATTATATCTTATTTGATTTTGAATTGATAATTTTATTGTGATAAGAAAAAAGGAATTCCCTTTAATGATGCTCTGTACGGAAAACCTCAGTGTTTTTCTGGTGGTAATAAATCTGTGACAAATGAAACAACATTCCAGGTATAAAAACTTAGAAAGCAATGGATCATTGTTTGGTGAAAAGTGCCTCTGGAGAAAAGATCTGAGAACAAAAGGAGGATGGTTCAAATCTTAAGTGATCAATTCATGCACTTTTATTGCGTGCATTCGTCCAAAAATGTTGAAAGATAAAATTTTCTTGGAAGGATTCACTTGCGGAGGATATATCTAGGAATTTTCCCTTTTTGATTCTTAAAGGGATAAGACCCCTCCATTTCCTCATTTCTCTTTATGGGCCTCTGACTCTGTTTTCTCATGTAGGTGTCTGAATATGTTGTTTTTATGCTGTGTCAAGGGTTAGTTTCCTCAATTCCAACTAATAGTTTGGATGTCCCTTCTGTCTTTTTCAGTACTTCTATTTTTTTTCTTTCTCGTGATACATCATATCTATGAAAGTTATGATATTACTCTCCATCTATTTTCATTTTTTTAATTGTTATTTGTGATGAGAAATGGAACAAAATGCTGTACTTATCCAGTAAGGTTCTTTGAAATTCTTCTGTTAGAATTGAGAAGCGCAAATAGTCCTTGCTTTCATTTTCTCTCCCCGCTTTGCAATTTTTGTCTGCGTCATGGTTTTGGGTTGTTTGTGCCACTTTATTTGTCAGCTTCCTTGTGTAACACTTGATTAAATTTTGAGATATTTTGTGTGTTTATAGATCTTCTTTCCATGATAGTCTGTGAGCCTTGTCATACTAGTGGGAAATCAACTTGTATTGCAGACCTAAAGTTTTCTTTCTCTTATTTACTAGTAATAATTCTATTTCATTTCAGTTATATTTAGTCGAATAGATCCTGGGGGTAAACTAGTTATGGGGTTCCGAAAGGCGACAAACTCTGATACACAGGTCAAACTTCGTGCAAACTTTTCTGAAATCATTCTTGAAGATTTTCAATCTTATTGAGAATTTGTCTCCAGTGAGCACTTACTCTTGGTCTTTTTCAGATCCCAAAAGGAGGCAAGGATCTACACGTAAACGCTCTGTCTCAACATTGGAGTTTACCTGATGGAAATGTTAGACGGGGTAGAGATGAGATCCATGGAAATGGGGAAAATGGGAATTCAGTGCAGCAAATCGCAGTGATTGGAGAGAAGAAGAGGACTAGAAATATTGGATCCAAAAGTAAAAGGTTGCTGATGCATAGTGTAGATGCATTGGAGTTAAAACTCACATGGGAAGAAGCACAGGACTTGCTTCGTCCACCTCCAAGTGTTGTGACTATTGAGGACCATGAAATTGAAGAATATGATGTATGGATCAATAATTTTTTTCCCATGCTAAATGATTCCTTGATGGCTTGTCAATGCAAATTCATATTTACTATGTTTGAAGTTTGTGTTCAACTTTGTTTTCTTATTTAGGAGCCCCCTATTTTTGGAAAGAGGACTATATTTGGTGCCCTTCCATCTGGGTAAGCTTACATGATACATTACAGTTTCTCACTTGTTATTGGAAAATCTGACAGTTGACTAAGTTATAATGTGGTTATAGTATTTGTCTCCTGAAAGAACTTGCAAGATTATGGTTAGGGATCTACAGAAGAGTATAAACTCTAAAAAGTTAATTGAACATGTTTTAATTGAATTCTTTAGTCTGATACCAGAGGGCTAAACTTTGGAGCTATTTCCTGATTGTGCACGCTGACAATGTTTCAATGTAAAAAATCCTTCCTTTCGAGGGTGGTCAAGTCTTTCAGTTTGGAAAACTTTGGTTTTGTACCTACACTCTGATCCGTTCTCTCTCTAAATAACATAAGTACATAGGAATACAACACCTAACTCCCTTAAGGAGATAGAAAACCCAAAAGAAACATCCCTCAAAAATAACATGAGGATCAACCAATGCCAGCCTTAGCTAGTGCATCTGCCTCTATATTGGCAGTCCTATTAACCCATCTAATAAAACCTTCACAATCTCTGAGCTTTTGAATAATGTCTTTAACAATGTGAACATAAACATGAGGACATAAAACAGCATCATTAACCCAGTCGACTGCCACCCTACTATCACTCTCGATAATCAATCTTTCCTTAACAGCATCTTTTTCTTTCATTGGGATGCAACCAGTTCACCGTCAATTATTGTTTCATAGAAGCTGACACAACTTTAAGATCTCACATTGCTGCATATTTGGTGAAGGACTTCTTTGTTACCTATATTTATTTAATGTTGAATGTTTTAAGGACTGTCTGTAGGAGACAGGAGCAATGGGCCCAGTGCGATAATTGCTCCAAGTGGCGAAGGTTACCCTTTGATGTTCTCCTCCCACCAAAGTGGACATGTTCAGATAATGTTTGGGATTCAAGCAGGTTTGACAATTTTTTTCAATAACGTGATTAGTACTATTGATGGGGTAATTTTCTGAGATGAAAAGTTAGTTTTGATGTTCATGATTTGTTGATTCAGTAATGTGTTCCCAGGTGTGCATGTTTTGCACCGGAGAAGATTAGCCCAAAGGAACTGGAGAATATTCTCAAAGTGGGTACAGGTAGGGCACTGTCCCAGAAGAGATTCTGTGGCTCATTATTTAGGATTGTTTTAGAAAGATAAAGCAAGTGTTCTTTCTATAACAAGATGGATCCTGAACGCTTGTTATTTTATAAATGATCCTTTATTCGTATTTGCTAATGCTCATTAGTTTTGCACACATTTGAGCTAGTATACCTTCCTTTTTTTGAAAAGTGGCATATGAATATCTTTGTTTGTCATGATACTTGGCCAACCAGACTGTTTTGTACTTTCTTTCTCTTGGTGGAAGATCCATGAATTTGAAAGTGCTGCATTGTTTTCATCATTTGGTGTGAATATACGTGTCCACTCACACCGCACGTATGTATTGGCATATGTGGTTGATGTCCTATTTGAATTGCATTATGCTTCTTAACTACTATCTTCCCTTTATATCTTTCCCAGATTTGAAGAAGGCAAAAGTTCTAGAAAGCCCTAAGCTAGCCCCAGAACCTGAACCTTCAGGCTTGGATGCTCTGGCAAGCGCTGCAGTTCTAGGTGACAAAATGGATGATGTGGGGGAGTCTTCAGTTGCAGCAGCTACAACAAAACACCCTAGACACCGCCCTGGCTGTACCTGCATTGTTTGCATTCAGCCTCCAAGTGGAAGGGAAAGCACAAGTCAACATGCACTTGTAATGTGTGCTTGACCGTAAAGCGCCGGTTTAAAACACTTATGCTGCGGAAGAAGAAACGCCAATCAGAACGTGAAGCAGAAATTTCCCAGAAGGATAATACGAAGCAAACAGATGAAACAGAGGTGAAGGACACAATAAATAATCATTTAGAAAATGAAGCATGTCAAAGAAGGATTGAAGGTGAGGTAGCTGAGGCCATCGCTAGACAAATAGACCTTAATTTTGACCCCAATCGTGAAGATGTACAACTTGAAGGAGAGGGATCGAATATGATGAGTTTTGTTGAAGCTGCGAGCATGCCAGTAGAAAACCACATTAAGCAAGATGGGTTTTCTAGCTTAAAGAGTGAGCAACACGAAGAGGGTAGCCTAATGTCTCATGGATGGCAGTGTGAAGGGCACGAGGAGCCAAGCACGGAGAGAAATGGTCTTCAATGAAAATATCATCCACAGATTTTCTGCTCTTGTGTTTTTCCTTTTACAGGTACAGTAGTTCTGTAGGTGTTAGCCTCATATCTTCACAACACACACACACACAACACAAACACTGCAGTAACCTTGCTAAGCAGGTTACCTTTATACCAAGTAAATGGTGCGCCTCTGTCTCTGTAGCTTTCCACATTTGTTATGGCATGCTAAGGTTCAGGCTCAGGTTGTCTTGTTATGTATTCATACCGCTGGTGCTAAGGTTCAGGCTCATGTTGGCTTGTTATGTATTCATACCGCTGGTGCTAGGTTGTGGCTGTGTTTTGGTTTAATTTATTCAAATGTGATCAGTTGGTTCTTTTTCCTTTTGGTGGGGAAGGAAGGGGATGCAAGCATTCAACTTTTTTCAGATTATAACCTATACATCGACGGTATGGTCAAGGGAGGGTGACATGCATTTTTCCATTAAACAGTGCTCAACTCCAATAATGAATTTATAATTAAGAGGGGAAGCTTTCGTTGACAACAAGTGTCATGCGTTTGCTTAATTTTATACTTAAATCATTTCATTATTTCTGTTCTGACAAATATATATATATATATATATATATATATATATATATATATATATATCATCTTTCTTTGTTCTCTCTCCTATAAATAAATATGTTTGTAGTTTGTTGCCAATATTAGGTTTTTTTGTGGCTGCCTTGTCAAACATAAAGGAACAATTACGAATTGTTTTTTTTTTATTCTTTCTTTCGACGACAATGTTGCAATTTCTTATAAACTTTTCCTTTGAAGCTATTCAATTTATCTGATTTATAATTTGTCCAAAAATTTATATATCTATATATTAATTTTATCCAAGTAGTCTTTATCATGTGAACATATTTTTTGCTTAATTTAAAGTAAACAAATAATAATGTAAATGAACTAAACCTCTAGACACTCACTAATTCAACTGTTAAACTGCATTTAACCAAACAGTCAACTTGACCAGTGTAAGGGTTTTGACTTTTGACCATCTCGTAGTTAAATGATTTTTTTATACAACTATTAGTATACGACATATTAATTAATTAATTCAGGTTGAATATTGTATATGAGAAAGATTCGTAAATGTTATTATTCGAATTTATGATCTTATTCAAGGGATTTGAAATCATAGGATTGAAATTGAAGGCATTTGAAACCAACCATATAGATTGAGCCCCTCAAACTGAAGACATAGCCGAACCACTGAAATGAGATGAAGAAATCAAACCGAACAAAATAATTTATCGCTTTCCTTGATTCCAACATCAAGTTAAATTAATTGCGTATCGCTGTCTTGGAATTGTGCTTTGATAATGAGGACGAAGAGCCTCCTTGCCGAGGTATGTACATCGTCAAGTCCGGCCTTGCAATATTTCGGATTTTTATTATATACGCGTCTCCATTTCCAATGAAACGCGCTTTCCCCCCCCCCCCCCTTCCCTTTATAACTTGGAGCACTTCATCTCTCTCTCTCTCCTTTTATATCTCTGTGTTGTTAAAGCTCATTAAGAATCATCAGCATCAGAATGGGCGATAGGGAAACACTGGCAAAGGCCCGAATGGAACTTGAAGAACTATATCTGGGCATCCCAGATGACTCTGTTAATCTCACTTTCCAGGACCTTGCTGACATGCAGCAAAAGGCAGCAGACCCGTCAGAAAACAACAACAACAAGAAATATACCACCATGGAGACCGTTCATGAAGACAAAGGATCATCTTTGACCAAACTTCCCAGCCTTGATTTCAACAGGGGCCTGCATGAGACCAGCCAACATCAACAACGACGACACCTTCACCATAAACCCTATCTTGAAGAGAGTGGCGACTTTGGTTCACACATGGAAATGGATCACCATCGTCCCCGTCATCATGATAGCCGTGCATGGAAGGATCAACGAAGGCATGCAACTAGTCCGGGGGCTCATACGGAGTTCAGGCATGGGATGGAGAAAAGCGTGGCCTACGATGATATAAGCGTGGTAAGCATGGCTTCCAACTATCCAGAAAGAGGACAAAGACGCCGGCCTGGGATTCCTCACTCCAATATATGCACCATCTGCAGTACTTATATCTACATCTTCCGCCATCGATGCCTGGTATGTTTTGTTCTCTCAACTAACCAGATTCAAACATATTTGTGAGCAATTCAAGAAAACCACTAATATACATGCATGCAGGTTTGTGGAAGGGTGTATTGTAGGCAATGTGTTTGTATAGGCATGGGAGAAATGACAGAAGGCAGAAAGTGCGTGTTGTGTCTGGGGAGAAGATTCAGCCCAAGGTAGTTATATATATATACATACATGTGTGTGTGCGCAAATAATATCATAGAAAATAATGAAAATAACAAACCGTTGATGTTTGATTGGATAGGTACATAAAAAGAGCAGGAAAGATGGGTTGCTGTTGGAGGTACCCGAGTACGGTGAAGCAAGCAGAGCTGAAGTGGGCGGAGAAAGGGCCTCGGAGAAGAGGGGAGCGAGCAGATGGGCGCAGTTCCGTGAACATGATGTCGAGGGCAAGAAGCCCTCAAAGGAGTACAATGACGACGACGACGACCATGAGTAGCAGTACCCCATCTTTTGTGGCTAGCTCACCTGCCTATTCTCCATTTAGTCATCACCGCCTCCCCTTCTAATAGCGTGCTATATTATTTTCTACTCTATTCAAATACTTCGTCAAAGTTGAACTAATTAGCATTTAATCTTTATATTGTTGCTTATTTCGTAATTCTTTTCAGCACATCCACTGGGGATCAGTTATAGTATATGAATAAAATTTCCTCTTTCTTTTGTTTTGCCTTTTTGGTTAGGTAATTATAAGCTTGACGCAAAGGGCATCACAGAAAATGCAAAGCCATTAGCAGATCATCACTTCAGTTTTAAGCCAGAAATTTCACGTTAATCGTTCAATAATGCAGGATTCCTTTTGGATAAGTTGTTTGAATTGTCCAAGAAGCTATACCATAGAACACACAGTCTGCTAGCTATAAGCTAGCATTAAATCCATGCAAAAATGTGCAGAAAACAAAGGGAAAAACCAAGCAAAGTAACAACAATACCATGGATTAAAATAGTGGTTGCGGTTGTGTTTTCGATTGCGTTGTGTTTATTGTGATTGCAGACTTAACAGGCGCTATTGCTGGTAACGCGATCATACAATAGCGGTCTCGGACGACACTAACACTACTACCATTATATCGCGATTACTATCACAGTTGTGTATCACTATTTAAATCCTTGATCAATGCAAACAGAGACGAACTTATGTTAGGGGATAAATTTTTAAAATTTTAAGAGACGGTGAACTTATAAAATTTTAGGGAGTTTGAAAATAGATTATCAATTGAAAATATAAAGAAAATATCTAAAATATATATTAATTTAAAATTTTCAACAAGTGTGATTGCTCCCACCCGACCTCTTCAATCAATCCCAGAATATATATCACCCTTAGAACTTCAAAAGTTTCACGATAAGAACCTCATTTCATATAACTGATTTGCATCGATTAACTTGACATTACATGTAGGGATGGACTGAAGTGGGTGAGTGGCCCCTCAAATTTTCAAATTGATATATGATTTTTTATATGTATTTTTTTTATTGATAATCTGTTTTCGTCTCTCCTAAAATTTTATAAATTTGATCCCTATAATTTTTTTATAAATTCATCTTTGCATTGAAATCCTACCTTCACTTCTCATGTGTACTTAATTCAACTTGCAATGAAAATAATTGGTTCATCTCTTCACTTGTTTATCTAGACAACTTTACACATGGGAAGTAACAAAATACATTGTCTGTCACTGGATTATAAACGAGTCATTTAATTTTAAAAAATATAATTAACTTGTTGAATTTAAATTTTGTTACAATCAAGTCATTCCATTAAAAATGAAACGAAGGTTCTAATATGATAACAGTTATAGTCTATAAAACTTATACATTCTATCAATTAATCATAATTTACATTAATTAAATAAATTTAACCCTTTATATTTAAAAATTATATCAATTTATTCTTTATATTTCCCCAAATCACTTTTTTGTCATCGTTCATTATCATCCTTAAACACTATTACATGTCAAACCACATATAAAAAGATGTCTAATCCTAAAAATATTCAAAAGATAAAACATCTAACTCTCAATATACCATAAATCCTTGATAGAACATGCCTAACCTTTAAAAATACAAACAATAAAATCATTATTTCATTTCACACTCTCACACTCTAATATTAACGAAATGCCTCCTCACTCAGTACTATTTCTCACAATACTTTGCATCACAAAGCTTCAATGTATTTATTTAATTTGTAAAAACAATATATTAAATATTTATTTTTAATAAATAAATATTAGAGTATGTTTAAATAAAAAAAATCAATATAAAATCCATCAAAATCATAATATTTGAGTGATTTATAATTTATAAATTTTAAAACCATGATTACTAAATAATATTTACAATGAACTGAATAATATTTTAAAAATGTATTTAATATAATTTATAAATATTTACAATCCTTCCAAATCGAGCTAATATTCTTAAGAGAGAGGGAGAGAGAGAGAGAGAGAGAGAGAGAGAGAGAGAGAGAGAGAGAGAGAGAGAGAGTAACATCAAGGAAGGAAGCATATGAGGAGATGAAGAGATTGCGACGGGAAGAGAGTTGGATATGAGTAGGGATGAAATGTTAATGAAAAAAAAGGAAGGTGGAGGAATTATGATAAGAATTGCGAAGAACAAGTAAATTAAGAGAGGATTAATGATTAAATTAATAGGTTTTTTAAATATGAAGGTTAAGTTTATTGAATTATAACTAAATTGATAGAAGATATAAGTTTTAAAGATTAAAAATGTTATTACATCAAACTTCATCACACATATATTTCATTTTTAACGTAGGTGTGATTTGATTGTAATAAATTTTAATTGAGTGATTCTATTATAACATTTTAAAATTAGGTGTCTTGTTTGTAACCTAACTAATAATTGAGTGATCAAAGTGCATTTTACGCTTTAATTTATTATGATTCGATGCTTTGCTTACATGTGCTTTTGGGTTTTTGAAGTGTCCACAAAGGAAGACCTAGAGGGCGACTCGACTGTCGGACTGGGATAGTTTATTTTAAGCTGATGAACTGCTGAAGCATATTTACTTGTAGAAGATTATATATTTAAATCTTACACAGAATCGAAGTTTTCCTCTCTTTTATAATTGTAACACTTCGTATCAAAGTTGAAAAATTGACGATGGTTGCAGACGGAAGCGGACTGAGGTACTCATCGGACAGCGTGGTAATTAAGTCTGCAAACGACCGCCGACTCTACAGGGTAATCGAGCTCGACAATGGTCTCGTCGCTTTGCTGGTTCACGATCCCCAGATTTACCCTGACGGACTTCCTCAATGTTCTCATTTGCTAGTTAAGACTGAGACTGAAGGTGGAACTGAAGACGATGGTGAAGATGGAGATGGAGTTGGAGATGAGGATGAAGATGAAGATGACGAAGAAGAAGAAGAAGAGGACACTGACGATGAGAAACAGATTGAAGAGAAAGCCGTTCAGTCTAAAATGGTTTGTCATTTCCCTTTATTTTATTGATTGAAGTCCATACGTTAGATTGATTCATCGATTGTGAATTTGGTTGCAGGCAGCGGCAGCAATGTGTGTAGGATTTGGCAGCTTTTCTGACCCTCCTGAGGCGCAGGGTCTCGCTCATTTTCTAGGTTTCATTACTTTCAGTTCTATTCATCCCATTCGGCTCAACTGCACTAAATTCTGCTCTGCCTAATATTCGTGAATTTTCTTTACTTCTTCGTAGAACATATGCTATTCATGGGGAGTACTGAATTTCCTGATGAAAACGAGGTTTGTTCATCCATGTTATTTCCTACTATTATTCTTGATATCCACAAGAAAATATTTTTATTTTTATTTGCTAGCTTCTTCTATTGATAATTTAAACAGTGCATTCTTTCTTGACCTACATCTAAACAGTGTGTTTATTATTTGGCCTACCACCATTGACACTCTTATTTGCTAGTATGATAGTTACTTATCCAAACATGGAGGCTCATCAAATGCATATACAGAAGTTGAGCATACCTGCTATCATTTTGAAGTTGAAAAAGAATTTCTCAAGGGTGCTTTGAGAAGGTAAATGATCAAACTATAAAGGGCGGAGCTTTTTTTATGGAATTACTTTTTCCACTTCCTTTACATTGCTCGACTCAAGCTTCGTCATAGAAATTTTTAATGGAGTAATAATTTGATCTTTGTTTTGTGTACTGATTCCCCAAGTTGTCAGAATTTGATCCTTATGTTGGTCTTTTGTCTTTATCAGATTTTCTCAGTTTTTTATTTCACCCCTTGTAAAACTTGAAGCAATGGATCGAGAGGTGCTTGCTGTGGATTCTGGTGTGCCCCATTAACCTCAGTCTATCATCTGTTTTCATGCATCCCCCTTCTCCATTTTTTTCTTCTTCCAAATATAGGAAATCTGTTCTCTAATTTCAACCAAAATGGGATTGTAGAATTTAACCAGGTTTTGCAGAATGATATATGTCACCTTAAGCAACTCCAGTGCCATACATCTGAAAACGGTCACCCTTTTAATAGATTCTTTTGGGGTGAGATCCTTGTCATTGTTATTCACTCTTTGAATGATTTGATTATGTCTACTGGTATGAAAATGGTAATTTCCGTTTTCTTAAATGGTAGGAAACAAGAAGAGCCTGGTTGATGCTGCCGTGAGAGGGATTGATCTACGCAAACAAATACTAGAACTATACAAAGATTATTAACATGGCGGACTGATGAAGTTAGTGGTAATTGGTGGTGGGAAGTTACTCTTTTGTGGTTCTCTAGATTTGTGGCCATCGTTTAGTGTCTCTCTATCACTAGTCTCTGCTGGAAAAAAGTTCTTTGAACTATGATCACATTTATTTTCACTGCCTCTTTTTCCCCATTTCCACCATTTTTAAAAAAATTTCTTACCCATTTTACCTTATTTAGACTGCTGATTATGAACTTTATAATCTGTCCATAAAACGGTTAACATATACAAAAATTAATTCTAATTTTGAAGGAATTTCAGTAGTTATTATAGATGTGGCTTTTGGAAGAAAATTATGGTGTCATTAATGTCTACAATATTTGTTTATATTCTTTAATAGCGTAATCCTGATAATACTTGTTGATGGTGTAGAGCCTTTGGATGTACTTCAGCAATGGGTTGTTGAATTGTTTTCGGGTGTCAAACAAGGTTCTCAAGGGAAGCCAGAGTTTAAGGTGGAAGGTCCTATCTGGAGTGCTGGTAAACTTTATAGGTTGGAGGCAGTTAAGGATGTCCATATCCTTGAGTTAAGCTGGGCACTACCTTGTCTTTTGCAAGAGTATCCGAAGAAACCGAAAGATTATTTGGCTCATCTTCTTGGTCAGGTATCTAATTCTGCATTATCTTAATGATTAAGAAGGAGGTTGCTCATGGAAATAATACTAACAAAGAAAAGGATGCATATGCATATATGAAGAAAATGTGAACTCTCCACAGCTTTGATGCCTTGTAAATGATAAATGATTCTTGATTAGTCTGTGGAATGCAGATAGTGTTTTTCATTTGCTTCAATTTC